AAACTGAAGGGCTGACCCAGAAAATAAAATGGGGTAAAGGCCTGTACTTACAACACCAACCCTTTCACAGCCTAAAGAGGCTACCCCACTACTTGACACTCCAGCCATGGATAGCATAGCTGATGCATCTTTTACATTGCAGGACTCATCTGTGCGAGATTCAGAACCTCAAGCATCAACACCTGAGCAACCAGAGCGGAGACACCTTCTCAGAGAGCGTAAACCGCCTCAGAGGTTCTACTAGTCTTTAGAAAAATTAAGTGGAAACTGTTTACGTGACAGAACTTGTTCCTATTAGTACATTACATTCTATTTTTACCAGGTTCATTTTTTTCTTTTCGTTTGTTTCAAGAGGGGGCATTTGTCATATCCCATGAATCTTCATGCGTTTTAGTAATAAACCGTTAGAAAGCAATGACACTCTGTCACCAATTTATTGTCTCAGCCTGTTTGGGCCTTTGGTTTGGCCCATGGGTATCCACTAGTCTCCTGGGTTTTACTGTTTAAGAATGCCGAGTGGCTAGTTTTATGAGAATTGCTTGCTTCATGTGACAGGACATTCTCTATGCGCATCGACTCACAGCCTGAGATAAATTTATTTCTCCTTGTCTTATCAAACTCTTTGCAGTAAGAACAGAACATCTTTCCATCCTCAGCTGACAACCACGGGCGCCCGTCTTTCCATTTCTCGTTGAACTTGAATACTAGTACATTATTACGTTCCGTCGTCAGTGTTTGGAAATTCCTTTCTACTTGTACTTCTTCAACCTTCGCTTCTTTGGAAAATTGTTTAGCTTAAAACCAGTTATAAAGCTATGAAGGGTGCAAAGCTTGAATTGGACTTTTGCTATTTGTAAACGTAAATTCAAATTCAAGAAGTGACTGACGCGCTATCGACAACTGACTCAGTTGTCAATCTTTAAAATAACCTACGAACCCAAATTTCGAGCGAATGCTTAAACATTTCAGCCATTACAAATTATACTAAAAGAAAGAATGTTTAGTGCCCTACTTAAAATTGATTGGAAGCAAACCTTACATTTGCTAGCTAGTCGCTCAGTGATGTCTCTGTAAGGTCCTGTATCCTGTAACTGCTTGACCTGCGATTTGCAGATCCCTTTTGCTTAACCCTGCTTGACGTTATCCCAGGCAATAACGATCCAAAGACGTTTTGTTTCGGGGTGAAAACATAATCTACGTACGTGTCCAGACAGTCGGCAGATGTGACATGTATATTGTATCTTTAGAGCGTAATATTAATCAGCGTACCTGAACCCTTTAGGGGCGCTCGTAGCTACTGTAGCGACCGGTAGAAGTGTCAGCTACACAATCATCTGGCCTCACCACGTAACCGCAGCCCTCTTTCCCAACGTAGTCATGCGTGTTAGAATTGTGGTATCCCAGGGATAACGAATGCGGGAAATCCATTTTATATAAACACTTGTATGAAGGGAAGATAACGATGAAAAATGTTTGAGCGCTGATTTTCATGCAACAAAAAGGAGGAGAAGTGAAATCTTAACTTGAGATCTTAGGGTGTTTACATGACACTGGGGCGACTTTCGCGCCGGCGCGAGTTCACTCCGATCCGGTTCCCTCTCACATGCCTCTACATTTGTTTACATGATACCCCACAAAATTTCTTGTGTGAGCGAGTCACCTAGGCGTTAGTTTACACCGGTTGTTGTACCGGGGCGAAAATTTCATTCCGGTACGAAATCTCGCACCGGCATCATGTAAACGCGAAACGACCACCCGTTTCGGTGTGAAATCGGTCTGTCGGTGGATTGGAACGGGTAGCGCATGCGTACTGTTTCCGAGTTTGAATCAAACCTCAAAATAACCGAGATGTGAAATGACGCATCATCATGTAAACGCGATACGATATCATATAGTCATCCCGGTATAAAACTCACGCCGGTCTGAGTTTTCTCATGTAAAAAAAGTTTAAAGTTAGTTATTTTCCATCTCGATACTGACCTACGTGATCACGGTGGTTCTGGGGTTCTGATATACACGGTTAACTGCGGATTTTGTGTCAGAAACATGATAATAAATTATTTCAATACGAATTTTTTGGAGTTAATATTCGTTCGCTTAAAAAAGTAACTTAACATTTTACATGTAAATGGCTCACGATATTAATTTAGAGAGTTCCATGTGATGACCAAATGAACCCGAGCTGCGCAGTGAGTGTCAGGTGAGTATCATAGTCACACTGTAAAGTACATGTATCAGGGCGCATATCAGCGAGCGAGATATCCCTGATAATCCCTGAGAATTTTTCAGAAACTGCAATTTGAATGACCTTGCCAAATTGAAACTCACATTATTGTCGAGAATTCTTGGAAACTCCCTAGAAAAGCGAGAACGCGTGAAATTCTTATAGACAAGCCGTTGAAAATTTTCGGCAATTTCAGAGAATTTTATGAAGTCGCAAGCTTTCTCAAGAATTCTCAAGAAATCCTGGGAGTTTATTGAGATTTACCCTGCTCCCGAGAATTCTTGGGAAACATTTCGCACGGAAAGGTTCAGAAAATAGTAATGGGAGTAATTTGTGATCTCATCAAGCAAAGACTTGAAATTAAAATGATTGCTATTGACACAAGCAGTTGCAAAACAGCTGAACTTATATTTCCCTTCCTTTTTTTGTGATCAAGCCAACCTTTTTCATTGTTCGATCTGCCTTTTGCTACAGATTTGCACTCTGTTACCCCTAGTAACTGGGCGGTTTGTTCTATAAGTCTTTTAGCTTCAAATCAGTGTATATAGGGTAACGTTTAGAATGTATATATTATGGAATATATATAATAAATTCCCTCAGACTGTTATACAAATCATTATTTTTACTATCATTATTATAACCCTCGGGCGGACGGGGAGGTTGATGGAACATCCTCCCGGGGAGTTTTGACGTTGCAATCTTTTGAAATGATTTTTCCTTCAGTGGAAAGCTTTTGACCTTCTCTACAGGGGAGGTATATTTTATGGGTGGTGGCGCCGCTGTAGGCCTGTGACGTCACCAATAATGGTCGCCATCGATTTTATCAAAAATTAGAATCAGGTTAAAACAGTGCATCATTTTATCCACAAGCTTTACCATTATTCCTGAAAAAATTGAGAAAACATGCATTTTCGCTCAAAAATGACTTGACCACCTACTACTTATTACGCCGTCATATCTCGTAACCATAGTAACTGACCATCACTAAACTTATCTGAAAATGCACTGGAAGGATAAAAGAACACTTGCAGAAAACTTCAGGTGTTGAAGTTTTATGGAAAAAAAAAATCAAGAAAACCTTAACTTAATCAGAATAAAAATCGTTTCCAAATGATTTTTAAGTGACTACAAACCATTTTTCAGTTAATTTAAGGTAATTACATTTTCCGTTTGCTTTCACCCTAGACTCACAAACAAATTTTAGCAGTCAACCTTGTCCCACAATTTTCAATGTCCTCCTCTTTAATGAAGGAACATTCAGCGTTCTTTTTTTCTCGATCAGAATGATGTAACGGCTCAATACATAGTGCCACCCTCAGGTGCACGTGTCTAATGTTGAGGCTTTTTTCTTGTCAAATAAATGGCAAAACTTTTAACTCAATTGATAAAACCTTAGCAATGGTTGAAATTCTTGCAGCATAATGATGCTTTATTTTATTGCTTCAAATTATTTCAACTAAAGTAAATTTTCCAGTTGTAATTATTTACTTTTATTGCACTTGCCCACATAAATATACAGAATTAGCAAATACAGTACATTCAAATTATGGCAAATATTTTTATTAATTTTCTCTACATTATTGGGGAATATTTCAGCTTATATAAAATAAAGCTAAAACAGAGGGCTGGGTTAGAACTGTTTCAGGTTACGAAATCCCTCATTATTGACCAAAATTACAGCAATTGCTTAGTTTTCATGACTAATGTTCTGATGACGACTTGTCTGAGATTTTAAGAACCACAGTAATTGCCTGGAAACGGCGTTCCTTTTTAATCATCTCAGAAAAATCAAACAAAATCCCATTTAAAAGTTAATTAAACTTTTTGTTTGCCTTTTAACTCTGCAAATTAAATCCCCTGCTACTATCGAGAATTCTATAAATCGCCCGTTTTTTATCGGGTTAATCACTTGGACTTTTCACCAGGTAATAAAAAGAGTCTACTCCATGACGCTCAAGACGATATTGGCCTCGGTGGGTACAGACTAACTAATCGTGTAGTTGTTAACCTTCTCTTCTTCTCTTTCCTGCTGATTTTCAATGAATTCCCATTTTCTGAACATTTTTGGTCAGCATTCTTGACACAGGTTTCCTTCTTAGTCTATGTAAGTGTTAAATTAGTAATTTATAGCTGTAGAGCTTAACAAAACCTGTTCTTTGGAATACAGGAATTGCTTTGGCAGAACTGAGTTACTCTCCAAACAGCTTAATAGATGTATCTTGTCCATTCACGTTCTTTATATAATTCATAACTTCAAACATGTAGCTTTTAACACACCTGTTATTTTACCAAATCGATTGGTAACACGATTCAAGCTTTTCCGGATCAAGAGCCCGAACATTCACTTTATCCTTACAGACTTCTTAAAGAGACAGTGTCTGCAAATTTCATTGTTGAAATTAAATCAGTTGAGATCCCAAAGAGATAAACGAAAGTCTTGCTAAAAGTTACTAGCCAATGCATGAAAACAGTTATGGGGGAGAAACGTAGACTAAACCCTGAAATATGTTTTACCCACCTTCATAAGAATGCCAGTGCATGAGTCACCTTCATAATTCTTGCAAGGTTGTAAAGAGAGGTATATAATATTTTCGGAATTTACTTCCTGTACCGCCACAGAGGAAGTAAAACAAAAGAACAAAAACCATGAAACAATATACCAAACAGATTTTTCCCTGGACAGGAAACAAAGAAGTCTTTTGTTTTACGTCATCTGTGTCCAGTGCACGACGTTTTGACCAAATTTTCTTTCTTTGTAACTAAACTATCTGAACGTCATGTTGTTGCACTACAGGTTCTGTGCAGTTTCCTTGCCAGCCTTCCACATGCTGAGGGTATAAGCTGTTATTCATGCCTCGAGTATCCAGGCTCCAACCAAGCATGCAGCAACCCTGCTATAATTCAATGCGGACCCTATTACGACTCTTGTGTAGCTATGAACGTTACATCCAACATAATGGGGATTCATTCTTCAGCAGCCTTGAAAAACTGCTCGATATCTAACCCTCAGTGCAACTCAAGCTACGTCTGTGGCCTAGTGAACAGCTCCATATCTCAATCCAGTGGAACCCTACTCTCATGCTCATTGAACTGTTGCTATGGAGATCTGTGCAATGGGCAAGGTGGAGGAGGTATCTTATTTCTCTTTTTTTAAAATCATTTTTCGCAATGTCATGGTATAATAGCGGCATACAATGAAAAAAAAGGTAAATGAAAGATATGATATAACTGCATAGTATTCGGGCCGTGACCTTGTCACTACCGTAAAATTCCGAAAATAAGCCCCGGGGTTTATATTTTTCAAAGGCCCCTTTTGAGGGGCTTATTTTTTGGCGGAATTATGTACGGAGGGAAATTTGCGTTTAAAAATCGATTAAGCTAGTCTTATTCTTGGTAGGAAATTTACTGTTTTCTTTGTTTTGCTTTGTATTTGAGGGCAATTTCCAAGTATACAAGCCCCCTGGGGGGCTTATATCTGGAGGGGCGATTTAACGGAGGACTTTCTGCGTTACGAGTTTAGGAGACCTATTTTCGGAATTTTAAGGTACTTTAATTTGGTACACTTTCATTGTTGCGTTTACGCGTGGGCAGTGTAAGGGTACTTTCTCATATGTCAGAGTCCAGAAAGCTTTTTTTTGCGATATTGAGGTCAGAAATTTAGGTTCCTGGCTTTGGCTAGTAAAATAGGTACGTAATATAGTCTTATCACTACTCAAAATCTCATCATTTAAAATATCCTCAATAGAGGCCTTCCAAGGGGTATAAGCGACAGGCGTAGTATATCCCGGATACATCCCTAAGGAAGTTACCAACAACTACAAAATCAAAATAACTTTACCTAAGGATTTTACAGGTATACGACAGTTAATTTTATTTATTTACTAGGGATTTATTTATTTATTTATTTATTTATTCATTTATTTGTGTATTTTCAGTCATATAGCCGATGTAAACCCCTTACTTGATTCACACAACTTTATCAAAACAACGGTTGTTGAAGTTAACATTCTATTTTGAGGCTTTTGCATTCGTTTCTATAAATATACAAATAAATGAAATTTACTCTAAATCTGATTCAATATCTTATAACTTGTATATTTCTCGTGCTTTATAGGAAACGTAACTTTGCCTCCATGGACAAACCCACCGCCGACAACTTATCATCCACCGTTCACTACTCAGAGCCCTTCAGGTGAAACATATTTTAATTTATTATAAGCTATTATATAAGTACTGAGATTTACTCACAGAATGACAATGGTGAAAAAACGCTACTATTCTTAGACACAGCCAATCAGCGACGGTAAATTTTCGCTAGTGAAACCACCTCACTTTAAGCTCGAAAACTGGCAAGCGCTTTTTCATTTTCAAGATGTTGAAAAGGTTTGGAAACGTCGGGAGCCGTGAGCCCGGAGCGGGAACGGAAGTCTGAGAACGAGTAGTCAGGGGTGGTCGATAAAAATCAAGAATGGCCGATTAGGATCAAGAACCCGGTAAGATCGATGATAGAGAAGCGTCGAAACAGCCCTTAACGTCGCTATTTTACTTGAACTATATGCTCATGAGGTGCTTGAAATTATGCCGAGGTCAGATAAGCTTAACTTCATGACATTTTTCACCTATGTCGTACTAAACCTGACATGTCCGTTCTCTCAAGCCCAAATTAAGACATGTTGGCGATGAGATAAAAACTGTAAATCTAATAATAGTATATCAACAAACCTATGATGAGAAGTCAGTACAAATTGTATTATTTGAAAAGATAAGTTTCTAAAATATGGATCAGGTTATTACATCAATAAAAGGCACCTTTAACCATATTAACGTCTAATGTGGCAGGAATATAAACCACACTTTGCTCTTAAAGAGTTAGTTGTTTGAAGCAAATGGCTATGCTGTGGTTCTAGTTTATTATAAACTTGGTTTAAATTTTGTTTCCCTTTGTTTTGGGGTATGGTAAAATGAATTTTATGATTATGAGTTCAAAGCAAAGGGAATAATTTAACTTCAAACTTAAGTGAACCACAACTGAGCTGCGGTATTAAGTGTTGCAAGTATACATGAGGGAAGTACTTTAGTTGGAATCGAAGGTACTTTCTAAAGGTTAGCTGTTAAAATATGGGAAGTATATTTCTTCCGTTTAGCCGTCTGGATGCTTTTTCCCCTAGGGGCACACCATTAATGTTTTTGCAGAGGGGAGCCCCGCATCTCTTTAATGAACATTATTTTAACTGTTGAGAAAAATATTTCAAGCTCAGTGAAAAAACTGAATGTGGCAATGACTTAAACCAGTTTGTCAAGCTGTTTTATTAGCTTGATCCAGTAATATTACAGTGCACCTACCATCTAGTATCACATCATCAATATCAGAGAGGTTGGCAGCTGATAAGAGGGTGGTTGATAAGCCTTCAAGCAAGCTGTCTGTATTCACACAAGTGATGGGTGGCAAAAGATTGGAGTGCCAATACGTTTTTCAGTAAATACAACTGTATGTGTATAGTGGCCACATTACACTTACTCAATGCCTCATGTATAATCACACTACAGGGCTTACTACCCATTTTCCTTAACTTTTTTTCCACTCCTTGGGGCAAACTTTGGGGTCCTTAAAAAAAGGGTTAGGAAGCTTAATTCATTAATTCACAGTATCAAAGAAGTTAAAGAGAAGAATTAGACTAGAGTTACAGTAACCCAGGGGAGGGGCCTTTATACGAAGAGGCCCGCCCCAGGGTAAAACACCTTACCCTTTTGTATACTATTTTAGACAGAAAAGGTAGCCCTTTTGTAAACCCTCTAGTGACAAATAGTACCCCTTTCACAAGTAAGAATGCTGCATCCCTTTTAACTGCTGTAAGTACACCTCGATACACCGTCTTTACAATATGAATAGGGACTTTAAGAACCCAGGACGCGGTGAGTAGGAGACGCGACCGGAAGTGACTTTTCCAGTTTCGGATGAAGAGCGCATGCGCTTGGCGTTTTCTCCCGCTCTCGAGAACGCGGCCTGAAGAAATTTGGCGTCGTCTGGAAAACGTGAGAATTTAGCCTTGTTACTTAAAGCAAATCACTATAATTACCAGTCTATCACAACTATTCTGTCAATGGGAATTTAAAATTTATTGCCTCTTCAAAGGTTAGGCATCATTTTTGAAACGAAAAGGACCAAAGTTGAGTAGTTTAAAACGTTTTGTTCCCTCCAGGTGAGCAAGCACATGGCGTCGAGCAGATCTTCAAAGTAAGTCATCTAATTATCGTTGAGATGTTTCCCAAAATCTCATTTTCCTTCACAGTTGAGGGAAATTATCACTACATTCATGGGGCTATTCTCATGCTTGATACAATTTAGTTGTCAGGCGTCCTAGCATTCTACTTGGTCTTCTTTCTGTTTTTGATTAATCCAACGAGCTCTGATGTGAAATATCAGAATAAAACTTTATCGGTTGTTCCATCAACGGATGATCGATTTTAGCTTCATAAATAATTTAGCGAAGACTATTCCGTTTTTCTAGTTGAGTCTCTACTAGATCCAGGCTTGATAATTCATGATGATCTGAAATTGCATTTCCTGATATTGAGTGTGATTAAAACTCAACTAAAGAAAGCTTATTAAAGCTAACTTTCAAAAATCGCCCACTATAAGAGGAAACATAAGTTCATTACCTTGACTAATGTCATAAAGCGTAGCATTTCGAAAGCTAAGACTTTGACATTTCTGCTATTGTGTTATGTCCATTTTTTTATTTCTTTGAAATTGTTACTAATGAGCCATGTTTTAGATAATACTCTGAAGCGAAAACAAACCAAGAAAAATTAGAACTAAAGAGAGATTGTATTTGAAGTTAGATGATGTTGCCTATCTCATTTGAAGTGTTGATAATGTGAATCTTTTAAATTATCAACGTTAGGCTTTGAATGCATTATTCCACTGCTGTTATTCCTGAAAGTGTAAGTTATGGGTGAGGTCTCTTTCCCTCAGCAAGGCCGCTTTTTAAATTTGTGAGCTTTACACGTCATTAAAGAAAAAATCTCAATTTTTTGAACAAGCATAAAATTAGCTGTGAGATTGACAACAGCATTTATTTTCAATTCAAAAGAAAGGGTTTTTTTGGAGTGAATTTTATTCTAATATTCTCTTTGTTTTTGTTTTGACACAGCAATGTTATGTACTGGACTAAACAGCACAATATTATACTGTGCAGAGAAGTAGTGTTTGAAAATCCCTACTTATACAAAAAGGGGTCTCCCCAGCGCAGTGAAACTTGGAAGAAAATTGTAGATGTTCTAAGCAAATGTGCTTCTCCGCAATTTAATGTTGACCACAGAGCCATCCGCGACCACATCAATGTCTTGGTAAACAAGTACAAGAAAAAAAATTGAGCTGAGGAAAGAGCGTCAGGAATATCCCCAGATGAGCCAAGTGAACTAGATGAGCTAATACAGCAAATTATTGCACTTGAAGAGAGTGCTCCCACAGATACATGTAGTAAGGATAAAGCTGACAAAGCTAAAGCAGAGGATGTAAGAATGAAAGCTATGGAAAGGCTTTCCCAAACCAAAAAAAGGGCGTCAGAGGAAGCCGAAGAGGGTGAGGACAAACCAAAACGAACAAGAAGAAAAACTGGAGATGCCATGGAGTTTCTAAAGGAAAGAGCACAGCAGAGTGCAGAAATTAGAGAAAAGGAACTTGAGCTAGAAAAGGGAAGACAGGAACAACAACTTAAAGTCCAACAACAACAGGCTGATATGCTGAAGCTAATGCACCAGCAACAACTGCAAAATCAACAGCAACAGCAGCAGTTTCAGCAACAACAGCAACAGTTCCAGCAGCAACAAATGCTCATGATGCAGCAGGTCATGGGCGTCATGAGTAAAATGCTTAACAAGTAGATGTTAAATTTCTATTTCTAGATGTTTATACGTTTAAGAATTACATTTTTACAAAATGTTGAACTCAGAGTATTATTTGCCACCCCTTTGTTTAGATCTGCTTGTTGTTACAATCCCTGCAAGTAACACACAACAACTGTTCAATCAGGATTTTATGCAAGATTTTATGTAAACTTAGGCATTGACAGGTGTTTTTTTTTTTTTTTTTTTTACAGTATTTTAGCTTAAGTAATCGACTAGTGATGGTGGGTCAAGGCCAAAGTAGTCAGCAGTGGTATTGCGGTAGAGACATGTTAAAGCATTCCGCAAAAGTGCACAAGCAATGTACATTTTTCCTACATGGCTAAGGCCAATTTTGAGATTCTTTTTGTAATCGAGAAACTTGAAATAATTTATAAGGTCTCCAAACAACCATTAATTCCACACTTGTAGGTACAGAACTCATAGCTGCATTAAACTCTTCCATTTGTCTTGTTAACACCCCATTTCCGAAGGGGCACTGCAGATGGATACGTAGAGGATATGCCGGATCCCCGTAGATACACATCTCCTGTCCAGCAGGGGAAAAGGCGAACTGTGCCAGGTCAACATAGAGGCCAGATGTGTCCAGCATTCTCGCATCATGCATTCGTCCCTCTCACTGGACGAAAAACGGATTTGCCTAAGTTTGCTAGGTGAGCAAATCTATTGTAAATTTAGGGTACTAATGTTGCTACTTATTTTTTCTTGGTGCAAATATTGTTCGAAAGTGAAAGTTTACTTTTCTGCAAGGGTGGCGTAAATGTGGAGTAAATATCAATTTTACAGATATTTTGTTTCACTTTTGCTCCCCATAGTAAATTTGGTGTTTAGATTCAAATTTGCCGACATTTTGTTCTCTGTGTAAAAATCGAACCTCAAAAATGAATGTTTGCTTGATATTTTCTGGCATAGCAAAGTTAATGTGTAAATTTATGGTTACTAGAGGCGTAAATTTAAGCAAAATATGATCAAAGAACTATCTTTACGACCACTTTAACCAACGTTTGCACATTTACCAAACTTCACAGTGTTATTTCACGCAAGTTTTGATATTCCATTGCCCCGTTTCAATCACCATCACATTCTTCTCAGAGTTTATCATATTACTTGTTGCAGCTGGTTATTTCGGGTAAGGCCATCCCCCCCTTTTTTTCGTTTAGCGTCGAATGCGTTTCCTGATATTGGGTCGGTGGCTCGGAAAAAAAATATCACAAGAAGTCTCGGAATAGGAGGCCCTGACGTAAAACGTTATACCATTTACAATTTGGGTGAACAAAATGCACAATATGTGAAAGGTTTGAACCCAGGAGTCATTTCAATAGTAGATTGCAGAGTTTCATCGTCCGGGTGAATGTAGTCCTGAATGCACTCGATCGCAAGATCAGCCGCCATGTTTGTTGTTTCCCAGGCTTCCACGTGACTTTGGCACATGCGCGATTTGATTTACATTGTCACGTGCGGCTTTTGAACCAATAGAACATGTAGAATAGTGTAAAATAAACTTTCGTTGAACAGTTCAAATTCACGCGGACTTCTCATGTAATACAGCGTTGCAAAACGAGTAGTTTTGTTATTTTCGGATAATAGAAAGCCTGTCTTTCTATTTAGCTGTTCTATTACGATTTATACCTTTGTTATTTTCGAGAGACAGTGATCAGTTGCGATATTCTTCACATAAAGCCTGTTTTCAAGTCATCAACTCAGCTGGATTGCAGAAAGGTATGTTCTTCTTGATATCGTGGTTCGTTTACTTACTTTGGTTTTCTAATAACTTTGCGTAAGCTTAAAACCTCAAAGATAAATCTTAAAATTTAAGATGCATGCACAGATATGCCATTCATTGATTCCTTTTTGTTTACTGCAGAAATAACTGTACTCTTTGTTGCGCATCGTCTTCATTAATGGAATAATCTTAAGTAGCCAGATCTTGAGCTGTGCAGGCAAACATTTCTTTTACACCAATATAAGTCGGTGATGTGACCTTAGTATGTCCATAATTCAGTAATTTGGCTTTTTGTACAGCTGAGTTAATATGTTAGATCTTTGGGGTTACTGTACTTTTCAGGTGACAGCACTTGACAAAGCAATGGTCACTATAATTTATTATTTAATATTCTACTGCATTTCAAATGACAAATGATTTTCCTTTTGAAATTTTTACAGTCAAAAACTCTTGTTTTACATCTATACATAATTATCGTTCAGTGATATTGTGAAATCTTAATTTGGTTCATTTTGCAAGTGACGGCATAAGTTTGCCAGATCTTGAAGCATATGTGTCATTCTGAGTGACCAGTGTATTATTGTTCCACATTTAAATGACAAATGATTCTTATTTCATAAATTGTACCATCCAAAACTCTTATGGTTTATACATATGGCTCAGTGATACTGTAAGATCTTAATTTTGGTTCATTTTGCGAGTGACGGTACTTGCCAGATCTTGGAGCCTACAGTATGTGTCATTCTGAGTGACCACTGTATTATTGTTCCACATTTAAATGACAAGTGATTCTTCTTTCATAAATTGTACCATCCAAAACTCTTATGGTTTGTACATATGGTTCAGTGATATTGTGAGATCTTAATTTTGGCTCATTTTGCGAGTGACGGCATTTTTTTCATTTTGCGAGTGAAGCCTATGTGTCATTCTGAGTGACCACTGTATTATTGTTCCACATTTAAATGACAAGTGATTCTTCTTTCATAAATTGTACCATCCAAAACTCTTATGGTTTGTTCATATGGTTCAGTGATATTGTGAGATCTTAATTTTGGCTCATTTTGCGAGTGACGGCATTTTTTTCATTTTGCGAGTGAAGCCTATGTGTCATTCTGAGTGACCACTGTATTATTGTTCCACATTTAAATGACAAGTGATTCTTCTTTCATAAATTGTACCATCCAAAACTCTTATGGTTTATACATATGGTTCAGTGATATTGTGAGATCTTAATTTTGGCTCATTTTTCGAGTGACGGCACTTGCCAGATCTTGAAGCCTATGTGTCATTCTGAGTGACCACCGTATTATTGTTCCACATTTAAATGACAATATTATTGATTCTTCTTTCATAAATTGTACCATCCAAAACTCTCATGGTTTATACATATGGTTCAGTGATATTGTGAGATCTTAATTTTGGTTCATTTTGCGAGTGACGGCGTATGCCAGATCTTGAAGCCTATGTGTCATTCTGAGTGACCACCGTATTATTGTTCCACATTTAAATGACAAGTGATTCTTCTTTCATAAATTGTACCATCCAAAACTCTCATGGTTTATACATATGGTTCAGTGATATTGTGAGATCTTAATTTTGGTTCATTTTGCGAGTGACGGCGCATGCCAGATCTTGAAGCCTATGTGTCATTCTGAGTGACCACCGTATTATTGTTCCACATTTAAATGACAAGTGATTCTTCTTTCATAAATTGTACCATCCAAAACTCTTATGCTTTATAGATATGGTTCAGTGATGTTGTGAGATCTTAATTTTGGCTCATTTTGCAAATGACGGCACTTGCCAGATCTTGAAGCATAAGTGTCATTCCAAGTGACCACTGTATTACTGTTCCACATTTTAAATGACAATACCTCATTATTTATACCGTTTGTACAGCTCAATGATGTTGAGGGATCTTTGTTAGTTCATTTTGCGAGTAAATGCTGTGGCTTTATCATGCCAAATAACCACAATTAATTAATTATTGTTCTAAGCAACATGTGGGTTGCCTTAATGTTATGTTTCTCAGGTTCTGACCGTTTTTACGGTTTATGTGTACAGTTGAGTCATGGCTGTCCTCTGTTAGAGCCTGGTGACCTGTGGGACACTATCAGTTCTGCTCTTGAATGACAGGGGAATTAATTTATTTCAGTTTTAACTTACACTTAAAAGAGTCTTAATGAAACAAATGCAGATTCAACAGAAAGAGGCATTTCTGCTCTCTACTTTAACACCTGTTCCAGAAAACATATATATTTAATGAAAAAGTTAGTAGGAATAAAATACAGGGAGAAATTATTCTCACAAATATCCTCAAACTGTTCCTTTGATTAAGAGAGTGTTTTCAGCTTTTAGAATCGTGTCATTGTTCTGCAACCCAATCATTTACACTGAGCATGAGCAGTACATGCTTGTTTACCAACTGTGGGTTACTTGTTGGCTGCTAAATCATGGCTCTTCATTTTTCTTTCAGAAAAAAAATTAAAGGGCCAATATGCTCTGAGGGAGTCAACTAGCATCAGTTAGTTAGACAAGGACAAGTACCTTGCATGTATGTCCGTTGCATATATGTCATCAGAGGAGTCTTTGTCTGAAACAGCTGTATCAGAGTGGCATGAAGGTAATTCTTCAGGTTCAGATGAGGACCTCCCAAACAGGGAAAATCTCTGTGTAAAGCCACTTTCCTGGCAGAGCATTGAGGTTAATGGTTTAATGGCCCAGTTGGACTGCAAAGTTGCATGGTGTCAAAGCCAATGAAGTGAAAATAATGGTAATAGAGCACACAGTGAGACCAGGATCAAACCAAGGAGCACCAGAGTTTGAGTTTGAGTTTGAGTTTGCTCTGGCACCCACCACTTACAATAGAAAAAGGAACTTGATCATAAGCATAACACAGATAATTTTTTGAAGAACATTCAGAAAAGAAGAAGACATTTTAGATAAAAATTTACAAAAAAATAATAACACTCAAGTTGAAGTTGACATGCATCATGATTCAGTTCCTTTTCAGTTAAGTTCCTAGAATCATATTTACTCAGTAGACAATTGCACAATTTTTTGAGTTTTGATGAAGACCTACAATGTAGTAAGTGAATATCCTTTGACACCCATGGGAAGGAGCGACGTTAAAACTAGGGAAATTACCAAATCTCAAAGTGATTTGTCACAATCCAATGAAAATCTTGCCTGTGTTGCAGACACTCTAAACCTTCTGTATAGAGCATGCCGTCTGAGAATTAGTGCACAATATCATGTTTGAATCCCACAGGGTCACAAAGACATGCATGTATGTCAGCGTTTTGTGATTGGCTAGGTTCGTACGCTGTTTGTGATTAGTCCGATTTGAAATAAAGTGTTGACACAAAGTCACATAATCTCAATGACCTTTGTATGGTATGGTGGAGCCACAAACTTTCCCTTACCAGACAAATGTCTGCAAAATTTGCCATCTTTGCAGAGCTGTCCTTGTTAGTTTGCACCGAATCACTCTGTAACTTGGCACCTGTACTGAATTTTAAAAACCTTCCATCTAGTAGCCTGTAAATGCAGCTGTATTTTCAGTCGTCGTGTCCATTCACCCAACATATGTAATTGGAGATACATCTGCATCCACTTTCCGCAGTGGTGACAGATCCTAGGGCTACCCTAAGCACTGCCTTAAAAAGTGCCACTCCGAGGACTAAATCTAGCCAATACACCCCATAGTAGAGTAATTAGTGGACTCCAAATGCCATCATCCTATTTTGTTCTTGGCATATTTTATGAAAAAAGAGTGCAGTTATGTTTTATGCAAAAAAAAAAATACCGTGTGTGATAACAGTTTTTTGATAAACATGGCTTAAATTTTAATCACCTGCATGCCAATAACAATAATAATGATGATGAATTAAAGAAGTTCTACAGAGCTTTCATAGTGTATAGATTGTGTTTAGATAATTTGGATATTTAATCAGTCCAATACTGCAAGCAAAACAGCTGATCATGTGAATCAGAAAAAAATTGCTCAAATTTTTAGCAAATAATTTGATTTTAGTAGAAAAAATAAATGTAATAAAATAATTATTTATGGTCATATAATAATACAAGAATTTCACCAAATCATATTATTTACAGTGATATAATAATAATAATAATAATAATAATAATAGTAATACAAGTATTTAACCAAATCAGTGGATAGCAGATTTGCTTTCATAACTTGAAACACTTTTGGCTACCTATAGGATGAGAGTAAAATTGGGGTGTCATTTCATGCTAGTTTTAGAAGTTTAGCAGTAAATGAAGCACCTGTAAAATAAAATACATGTACATGCTAAAAAGGTGACAAAATTAACCTTGTAAGTGTTTACTGCTGGGTAAAAATATATCAAAGTTGTACCCAAATCATAGAAATGCACAGAGCTTTCGCATAGTAACTCATTTTATTTACAAGAAATATTTGTATATAACTGATTTGGTTAAAAATGAATCATACAGATGTATCTCCCCTTGGGGTAATTGAATAGCACCAGGTACACTATATAATATTATTCACTGCCTATTTTGGGTAGTGGATAATATTTATCAGATGAAAACAAGTTCTTATAAGTAATAATTAGAGGAATATCGCTTATCACAGTAATTTGAGGCTAATTTTATTTCCTGTGGTTGATGTTCTGTCCATTAGTAAAAATGTCACATCTACATTGGGAGTGATGTGTACGTGTTGTCATCGTACAACCATTTCCCAATAGTATCAATTGAATCTAGAAAGAGTATATTTGAAGTATACCACTCAAATGGAGTTACGTTTTACCTGTACCAACCTTAGATAATTATGAACCAGCTAGTGTTGACTTGCACTTTCAAACCCAATGTACATTCTTATACACTTATGAATTCAGATAGTTTCACATTGTATGTGCTTTTTATTTAAAGGCATATATTTTGTGGTACATGCAGTGCCCTGCAGAGGCCAATGGAACTTTCTTTTAATTTATCTTGCTTTTTATTGTACAGTGTATATTAAAGATAATAAAGTCATTTTATTCTTGAAATTTTGTTTGGTGTCTAAATTGTTTGTCAGTCATTTATGGTACCAAATAAAAATAAGAAACATATGGATAATGATGTTTTGATCAAATTTGCTATCTTGAGCGAAAGTGTAAAAAAGTGATATTTTAATCAACTTTGTTTACCTTACGTATGGAAAAACTGCTATCATGGCAATATTTGCCATCCTGAGCAAAGATACAGAAGAACTGATATTTGATCAACTTTGCTACAATGGGGAAAAGTATGGGAAACTACTGTTTTGATCATATCTGCCATCCTGAGCAAAATTTAGAATAAAGTGGTATTTGGCCAAATTTACTACCCTGAGCAAAACAGTGGCAAACGCCTATTTTGATCATATTTGCAACACTGAGCAAAGATACGGAAGAAGTGATAATTTGACCTCATTTACTACACTGGGCGATACACAAATAAGGTGAATTTTTGCTCAGATTTACTATCCTGGGCAAAACTGTTGAAAAATGAGTTTTGGTCACTTTTGCTACATTGAGCAAAAATGTGGCAAATTACTACTTTGACCGAATTTGCTATAGAGAGCAAAAGCATTCAAAAATTCATCTTCGATCGCTTTTGCCCATTTGGGCAAAAACCTGACAAATGTCAGTTTTGCTATCAAGTTTGACACCCCTGTAAATGCCTTGATAAAGTAAAGGTTATCCTTGTTTTTACACGCGGGGCAAATTTGAGGCAAATTCGGCATTTACCTCCTTTGCCACTAATGCAAAATTATGGCAAAGTTGGTCCTATGTCATGTGGCAAAATTGAGCAAAATTAAGCAAAAGTGGCATTTGCAGATGATTTGCTCCAAATTTGCTATAGAGGTAAATCCGTTTTTTCGTCCAGTGTCTGAACAAGAGCCAAAAAAATTAATTTTGAACCACAATCAGTCACACATTGGCTGGCTGACAAACTGTTACCTATATAGACCATTGACTACCTTAGTAATTGAGTAGGCAAAAAACAACATAGGATTCGCTGGCTATTATTCTTACAGTCCAGGTACTTATGGCCTATAAGTCAGAATTTATAATTTATTTGTCTGTGGTGACAGGACAACCATTTCCTCTAATAACAATTTAAAGTGGGAGCTACTAAAAGTACCTCTGATTTGAGAGACCAGGAGGGAGTCATCAAGAAACGTCAGATTAACATTATGAGAAAAGAAATCAATCTAACTTTTAAGCTCACATAAGTGATAAATATGTCTCTCCAAGTAAAAACAGCTACGGTACTATCCCACCATAAAAAATGAATGAATATACCCTTACCTACTGGTCCAAACGGATGGCCAATCAATCCATTTGGTAGGGCCAAGGATTGAAATTTAAGGGCGTGAACGCGCTTGTGGCCATTGTAAACAGCTCTCTGATTGACTCCTGGTTTTGATATGGGACGAACCGTTCCATCAACAAAGCCGGAACAGTTTTCCAAGGCGGCACCTTTGTCATGAATTGCTTCAGAGTAAGTTTGCAGTAGGTTAGGAGACATAATGAAATGATTCCATTCGGTAATCCTATGGCCATGAACATTGTACATCCATTCAGTGACTTCATTGCTAATCATGCTGAGCTCGGGTACTGATCGACCATAAGTAGAAATCATATCAGACAACCTACATAGATAGCTAAAGCGCCTTAGTAGAACACAAAGTCCTTCTGTTGAATCACAAACGGTACCATTCGGACATGTGAAGGTATCAGGCATCTGTAAAACATCCACCAGCAATGAGATGTCACTCTTTTCAAATCTGAAGTCTGCCTTACACTCTGCGGGGTCTTTGTTTTCGAGGGAAAATTTTTCGTAATCCCAGTGGCGAAACGGAAGGTTTTGTGGAGTGAATTCTTCATACAGCAAGGCAAATTCTTCGTCATCTATTAGCTTTTCTTCCAGACTAAGGAGCAAAGCTTCCTGTAAAGTCTTAAATGAGTTTTGAGTCATTCTTGTAGGGAAAGGTGAAAAGCGTTTTACTGTTTTCCAGACGATGACTAGTCTAAATGATCGCGTTCTTGATCTTAACTACATATTTCCCGCGCTTAGTACGCGGTGCTCGCCCCAGCCACACTCTCGGTCCTCGCGTTTTCCAGACCACCGCGTTGTCGGTTCTTAAAGTCCCTAATATATAGATTTAGCCACGGCTAAAAGCGAAGCTCCCATTGATGAATTTATAACTTAAAACAAACAATAATTTTGTATTCCACAAATCAGTTAACTTAAGGGCACATTCATGTGACTCTTGAGGGAAAAGCTAAGTGATTTTGGAGTGAAACAAATCTTGTATCGAGTTGATATAGCCTTATATGTACACCCAAAAAATAGTCTTCGGTCACATTTAAGAGTGATAATGGCTCTTGATCACAGTAGATAAGGCGTGGAAAACAAATTCTTGGAAAACAAATCAGGCCGAATTTTTTGCGTTCGACAAGTTTCCAAATTCTTGCCAATAAATTAATCTGGGTGCGTGCAAACCAATCTTTTATTTTTTATACACTACATCTGAGGAGAAAGAGTACTATGAGGCGCTGTTTTTATCATACAGACCTCGTCAAAAATGCAGTATTTCACAATTTTTCAAGACAAATTGAATTCATTCACTATTCAGGACCATCGAAGCACACGTGGAAACCATTCAAAAAAT